GGGGGCTCCTCCAGCCCCACGGAGGGCGGGGGGGGCCTGCCTCAGGCAGGGGGCTGCTCCGGCCCAGCAGCAGGGGCAGGTGTTCGTGTCCCAGTGGCGGGCAGACGGGCCTCCCAGGCCAGATCTGGCTCGTGGGGAGAGGAGCCGGCAGTGGAATGCGCCCGTAACCGTGAGTCGCTGTGTGCTGCAAAGGCAGGACAAAGCAGAATCAAGTGCAATGTATTCATCTTATTTTGGGGTCATGCCCGATTCCAGTCCTGTGGCCCACGGAGATGACAGAGGCCACTCACCAGCTGGGGTTGCCCGTGGCTGAGGTAAAGGTGCGGCCTGGCCACGGAGAGGAGCCGGCAGTGGAATGCGCCCGTAACCGTGAGTCGCTGTGTGCTGCAAAGGCAGGACAAAGCAGAATCAAGTGCAATGTATTCATCTTATTTTGGGGTCATGCCCGATTCCAGTCCTGTGGCCCACGGAGATGACAGAGGCCACTCACCAGCTGGGGTTGCCCGTGGCTGAGGTAAAGGTGCGGCCTGGCCACGGGGAAACCTGCCTTGGTGCTGCCTACTCTCTCCTTTGCTCTTCAAGGCCCCTGCTTGTTTGGTGGTCAAAGTGCTGCCAAGCCCAGGGACTGGGACTGATCTCCCCTTCCTCCCTGCTCAGGTCCAGCTCTCCTTTCAAAATTTTCCTCGTCAGATGCCCACAAAAGAGAGAACTACCATGCTGAAAAAGTTCTACCTGTTCCCCGGCCATTAGGACAAGCCCACGGTACGTATCTTGTTCTGGAGTCTCAACAGACACTGCCACTAGGGCCAGGAACTGCACGTTTGCGTAAGGGACGGGGCTCCCGGTCCAGACGGGGCCTGGAAGTCGCCTTCCGTTCTCAGGCCCAGCCTGCCCAAGATCTGGCAGTGTTAGATTCCACTTCAAGGCAGCTTCTCCGCTTGTGTTATTAGGGCTCAAGGCAGCTAGGTCTGAACCAAACTAAACTCGTCTCCCCGTGGACGGTGGCTGTTCGAAGGGAAAGGCCTGGACAGGCAATTTCTAGCAGCCAGAACCAGGAGCAGCTCTGTGCTGGAAGCAAAGCACGACACTGGCACCGAAAGGCCTGTTAGTTCCAGGGAGGCACCAGGGAGCCACAGGTCACTAGCGAAGCACAATTCTGCCCTGAGACTTGCACCTCTCCAGGAAGGAAGAGCAGAGGGAAACTCGGCATCTGGGGAGTGTCATTTCAGTCCCTCATGCAGCAATGCAATTCACTTTACACAGCTCGGTAACCCGCTCCAGAGCCCTGGGACGCTGAGCAGGAACCGGTGGGGGGAGGATCATCTCAAACAATAGCTTTGCTGAGACGAGACCAGGAAGCGGGTGCAGAATGTCTGTGTATCATCCACTGGGAGAGTTTACACTCAGCTGTGATGATCTTGCCCTGGGCTGGCTGGGACGCTCCTGGGGATGGGAGGCTGGTGGGAGGGTCAGGAAGGAAAGCAAGCGATCAGAGCAGTGAGCTGTGGGAAGAACTCTGCTTTTAGCTGCTGTAATGGCGGGGAGCAGGTGGAGGTGACACGGATTGGAAGGAGCTGGGCCCACGGCCGATCCCAGGCTTGGCAAGAAATAACAGTTGAGATTCATGGTGGAGAAATGTAGAAAATTCCTTTGGTGACAAACCACCTGAAGCCGACCCTCCCCAAGAAGTGGGGCTGCTGAGTGGGAGCTTGGGCCGCTGGTGGACACGGGTTGTGGGGCAGCGAGCCAGCGAGTTGCATTAAACTCAGACCGCAAATGACAGAGCAGGGAAGCTGGCTCTCCACCCCGGGGGGTATTCCTGGCACAGCCTGTTCTGGGCACAGCATCACCAGCACGGCACTGACTGATTAGAGAGGTTCCCAGACTGCTCATTGCAGGGGAAGGCACCCAGTGCTCCCCGGTGTAGACTCTTCCCACCTCCTCCCCTCAGCCAGTCCTCTTAACCCCACCCCCAGCCCTCTGATCCTGGAGACCAGAGGCAATGGCCCCTTAATTGTCACTCTTCTCTCTCCTCTCCAGATATGGCAGAGCATTTCCCGGGGGCCCAGCCTCAGTCAGCATCTCTCCTCCTGCCTGCATCTTCCACCTGTAGCTTTCCTCTGAACAAGTACCTTCAACTTCTCAGCAGCCCCTTCCCTGGGGCGGTGCCGCCCGCTCGTGCCGGGGCTCCTGCGGCCGCCCAAAGGACTGTCTGAAATGCGGAGTCGCAGCCTGGCAGACGCTGCAGAGCAGGCAGCCCCCCGGCTGCAGCACAAAGCCGATTGTTTCTCAGAGCTCTGCACCGGCAGCCCCCCAGCACTGAACTGGCTCTTCCAGCGAGAGACACCCGCAGCCCCACGGCTGTCAAGACCCGATAGCATTGGCCTCCCAGAGATCAGGGTGCACTCTGATCATTCCCTCCGAGTCCCCGGGTGGGCCGGTCAGTGAGTCTCTGCAGCCAGGGCTGGCCCGAGCCATTTTGGCGCCCCGGGCGCCA